TCTAGTACCATAACAACATTCATTACACTCCAGCAGACAAAAATAAACACAAGTTGACTTATTCATGACCGGCAATGACAAAATTGCGTGACGACAGTAACAATGGCAATATGGCAGTCCCGTAAAGATAACTCCAGATGTGCGATATTGAAAGCCCGAGTTCACGCAGCTATGCGTCTAGTTGAATCTAGTGGTGTTCGACTATCGTGGAAAAGGTTGAAAACTACTTTTCTCCGAACCTTAAACTAAATGCTTGCCTATTTTCCCTTGGTCAAAACAAAACGTCCGACAGGTCATTTCCAGCTGCCAGTTACATGTTCTGAATGAAAAACATACTTTAGTACGCATTGGAACGTAAAGTATTATCTATTTCTGTTAGAACGTCAAGGATGACGTTTTCACTCAGTTTTGTTGGGGGGTCCAAATCCGCTGGGACACCTGTCCGGCATTTCAGGAGAGAAATAGGACTGAAATACTCAAAGCCTCTCCAATCTTTGCTTTCCATGAGTCAAGTAAACCTTTTCTTGCAATCTGAGCATCAGGGGATTTATTTTTTAGGCCTTCCAAAAATGACTTCTTTCTTTGTTCACTGATGTCACGCTGGCCTTCCTTTCTGGGATCAAAATTCAGCCATGCTTCGTTTATCAGTCCTTCACTATCTGCTTGAGCTTTTGAAGCCTTGTCTCTTCTTAAGTTCAAATCAATAATTTTGCTGGGCTCTACATCTTTACGTGTGGACTAATTCCAACCACATGAAATTGATGTGCAGGCAGGATTGTTGTATCCATTCTGCACTGCATAATCCACTTTATGCAATACAGCAATCATATGGTTACAAGTAGCACTTGTACCTGCTATGCATGTACACCATCCACACTCTTAAGAGCCATTGTGAAAATTTGTGATATTTACAGAATCTATATTCTATAAGCTTTCCGAGTGATTTATAGTTTAATCCCTGGTTTTAAGGTTGTGCACGTAGGACGAATTTTCCGGAAGTTATCCTAATTTGTTAGCAGTAACCTTGAGTAAATTCCTTAGCTTTGCACTGCGCATCCTGTACCGCGCTTAAAAATCACGTAATTAGCGGTATGAGCGCGCGCGCATTCCAAGACACACTATTGTTTTTCAGTCCATGGACCAGTTATGGCTATACTTATTTCGTTTAATTTTGGTTTACAATTTATCCCCTTTAAATTAAGAAATTAAAAAAAAAAAATTAAAAACTAAGTTTTTTCGTTTGTCTCAATGTTTTATAAGACTTCACCCTGAAAACATCAACAGGGATAGTGGAATAGAAATTCAAGAAGCGTGGATGCCCACGATCAAAAAACACAACAACAAGAGAGCCGCGCGACAGCGGACCGCCGAGGGAGCAAATCAATGAGCGAAACAGCAAGGATCGAAATACACCAATCAGAGCTGTTGGAAAAACAACTAATCACAGCAGAGCATCATGCGCTATAAGATCACGCATGACCAGTCGACCTCATCGCCTGAAACGTCGCGATCTACATTACACGTGACTACATCGTGAGACAAACGAAAAAACTTAGCTTTTATTGTTTTTCACCACGATGAATAACCACAACCTTTTTTTCGAAATCAAAAAAAATTATTCGAAGGGAAAAAAGATAAAGCTAAAAGAATGCACGAAGCCCGTTACTCGAGGATGCAGATTACGATCAGATGCAGAAACACTTCGAGTCTATATCGTTTAAATTTGCGTAATTCTCCCACAAATTAGATATCAAATTGTTCCATACGCTTGAGAATTTCTACCTAACAAGTCTTATTTCAATGTTTACATAAAAAACCCTTGCTTCCGGCTGCAGAAAAATGTACCGCGAATCGATGAAGTGACGCGCGTGATTAGTGCCATTACAGGCAAAAATGGGGTAAGCCTTGCCCATCATATCTCCTAAAAAAGAACAGTGACCTATCTCTTTTATTGTATTTTTCGGTATTTAAGGAGAACTTGAGGAAAGTTCAAACAAAGAATTGTTTAATAACTTTTTTCTCTGAAACTAAATTTTAGTGATTCTAAAATTGATTAATTATTTTGATCATTGCATAAGTCTGTTCTTATTGCAGCAAGATGTATCCCATAGCTTTGAGTTAGATTAATTTCAGTGGCAGTAAGATTTCAATCGGTTGGTCCTATTCTCCGTAACTAAAAAGAGAGGTTAGTTTTACCAGTAAACAGATCAAACTCTGAATTCTCACAAGTAACACTATTTGAAGACTTTTTATCACTCGTTTTTCCTGACTCGTTGTAAAAAATATCTCATTAAAGCGATGAAAGGTTGGATGGTTGTTACTCGTAAATAATTGATAACAAAATAAACAGAAAACAAACTAGCTTTACATGAAGGTTTACGATGAAAACTACTATAAAAAAGTGAAATCAAAACATTTTTCTTCGTCTTAAATATTAAAAAACGATGAATTGAAAAATCATATACAAATTTCAATGCCTTCAAATTTCGATTCATTTACATCTAAAAGATCGAAGGCAAGTTTAAGGTCAAGTAGACTTAAAAACCCTGTCATTCGTTAGAAAAGTGACGATTGAGTGATCGATATAGTCCAAAGAGCCCAGTAAGTACGTTTTGAAAAAAATTTAGCCAAGACATTGAAGGTAATTCTTTCAACAGGTTTTGTTTTGTTTTGTTTTATTCTGTTTTTTTTTTCTGCAAAGGAGAACGACCAATCTTGTGTAGCTAGTTTTTAGCGGAACATCTGCTGGGCGCCTGACACATGGTAACTCAGCAGTAATGCATGTTAGGGATGGGTTGATTGGGACATCTGAAGGACGTAAAGAACTGAACGATAAGCTTCAGGCAGATTATTAGGTCTCAAAAGTCTCAAGGTAGCTCACCCACCATATCAAGAGCAAAGAGCACAAATTGCTGTGTCGATTCCTTCGATTTTGTACGGGAAGCGACGCAGTTCTTCCATAAAGAAAGATGCAAGTTCAGTTGGTGAATATGAGCAGCGCAGCGATGCGACCTAAGGCGCAAACATGTTTCAACATTAGCTCGGAACTACAGAAAACTAGCCCAGCTAACTGAAAATGTTGATTTTGTTATGTATAATCCACACTTGTGGGAACTAAATGACTAATTCAGTTGCCGTCTCTGAACAATGAAAGGAGTTTCTTGAAAGAATCAAAATATATTTTCATGGGTGTGACTCCAATTTCTGCTCAAAGTATTTCAGTCTACTTTTGAAGGTTGAGGACCGTAGCCTCCTATTGAATAAAGTCATTTCAAACTGTATGCCATTAACACATGTAAGATGCCAGAGGAAGGCCAGCTGAGTGCCATATTGAGTTACTGAATTTACCTTTTACATCATATCACTTTAAGCATACAAATAATACCTTATATCATACTCTCGAGATGGTAAAGAAATTCGCTGTGAAGAGCGAAAAGACATTCTACATGCAGTGGATCATCGTCTCAGTATAAATCAACCTCCATTAGATTTTTGAAAAAATTGATCCGCCAATCAGTACCGTTCTTTCGAAGAAAAGACCACCAAGCTTCAATTCGTTGATTGGAGACTGAACACCCATACAGAAAAGTCTTCTCTCCAGCCACTGAGTCTGTACCCTCCATCCTAAAAAAACGCTGCATCGCTGTAACGTTGACATTTTCAGTTCCTCTGTCACCACGTAGGGTTCATCGAACGCCACCGACTTCCGTAAGACAGTCTAGGTAGTAACGCGCCACGATTCGAGGATTATTATTTGATGACCCGTCCTCGAGCCATAGTATACGTTAGCTGTAGCCATCTATAGCTCCATGAATACTGAAACAGAAAGACTTAAGTTTTCATAGCCATCTAAATGCCAAACAAAGTTAGGCCCTTTGTCAAAGTATGTCCTTCTTTTTAACCGGTGCCGTGATCGCCTCTCAACTGTCGAACTGTCTCTCTGCCACTTGACTCTAATAATGATTTCCGCTCAGGTTGTCGAAACGTCAGTCACCAGTACCGACAACAGTCCTTCTCAGGACTACACTCACCCGGACGATCAAAATACACTATTATATGTCTCTCTGCTAATCACCAAGCCATAGTCAAATCGAAGTCTTTGATGCATCTGCCGATATCCGATCAAACCACCGAATCCTTCGAGCTCTTTCTCGATCACAGCAACGATCACTTGCTTGTGACTGTAACGTGTATATAATATCTAAATAGTACAATCCAAGACTGAACTACCTCTCAATAGGACAATTGCGGTCAGAATTCGTCGATGTTACAGGTAGGTACGAAGGCATCATGCCCTCTCCACTTGAAAGCCATAAAATGAAACAGAAAAGAGATAAAACAACCTTGATTGTTGCGGCCATCTTGTTCATTTTTAAATGAGTCCGCATTTAGTTCAGCAGTAAAGTACGACATTGACAAATAACTTGCGTTTTGGAGGAAAAATTTGGGTTTTAACAGAAAGTCAAACTTATAACAAAACCTTAGGTTTTAGGGAAAAACCTGAGTTTTGGTTAAAAAAAAACCTGAGTTTAGGAAAAAAATCTGGGGTTTTTGTGGTAAAAAAAAACTGGGTTTTTGAAAAAAATTTGAGTTTTGAAAAAAAAAGATGGTTTTGGAAAAAAAAACCGGAACAAAAAAAATTATCGAAAACAACAAATATAACTCAAAATAAACAATTGGGTTCTGTTGACCCACACAGGCCACAGTATGGTTTCAATTAGAAAAAAAATAATATCTCGGAGCTTAATGGTTTTTGAAGAAGTTTCCTTCTTATTTGGTAAGTATGTTGAAGAGTGACTAAACAGAAATACTGTATATTTTATCGGCGCAATAGTTGCGCAACTGACTTCGTGTATCCCTTTGGTTGGATTTATTTGAGCCGCATGAACCCGTATAGCAGATTACAGTTAAAACTGCTTTCAACTATTTTCACCATGTATCTGTACTTACTATAATAATAAAAATAACAAAAATAATGGAGGGATGAATTATTAAAAGTAAAACCTTCAAACGCTAAGAATAGCTTTCTTAAGATGCGCACACTGGGCCATTTGGTACGTGTAGTTGTTTCTCTTTTTTCCCACTTGTTAAATGGAAGCTAAGTTAGTTTAGCTGACTGGTGAATGGGTTTTGCGGTATTTCAAAATGACGAGTCGGAATTCAAAGCTATCGAAATTTTGAATAGCATTCTTAAACTGAAATTTATTAAATATCACTTGTAATTTAGGCGAAATTAAGACATTTACCAGATGGTGTGTCTCCCAGGAGAAGGCAGCTCTTTGTTTACTCAGCTAACTCCTTTCGGGGTGCTATTGATTTGCCCACACTCCCTGTTGTTCCAAGCAGATTGACGCAGGAAGTGAATTGCGCCATATAATTGCAGAATTCCTCAAACAAATCGCATAATGAGGTAGTTCCTTCCTTAATTTAGTCAGCCATCGTTTCGATATTGAACCCTAGCAAGCTCAACAATTTGTTTTAGAATATCACTTTGTTGCCAATTGTTGAAGACCAAACTACTTGCAAATAGTCTTACACACTTTGAAAAGCTAAACTTCATTGGGCGCGTTAACTCTTCATCATGTATTCTGAATTCAAGCGTCATCTCATTTTGCTTTTCTTGTCATCGATCTTCACTGCAGCCCAATGTTCCTCGGGTAAGTATTTTTATTATTTACTTCTGCTTTTCAAGGTTTCTCCGTTACGCTACTGAAAGATAACGTACGTTGCAATCTAAGTGGGCATAACAACAGTTTAGGAAAAACTTTTAGAATGACACTCTTTTTTTGCGTTTGCAAATAATTCTTATTTTTCAACCCAATTATTCCGTTTAATAAAAAGAAATTTGTATCGCCTACAGTCGGTTGAAGTCTTGTTAAAGGTTAGATTTACCTTTAATACACTAAGTTCAAACGAAAGCTTTATAAAAGGGTATGTTTGGAGGAGATTTGCCTCATTCCAAGCATTTTACATAAGGCACCTGCTTGGAAACTACCTGCCCTAGTTAATTTTGATGTGTCTCTTCCTCGTTCTCGTTTTAAGACCGACAGGGGTGAAATTACTGTTTCTTTTTTTTAAATTGAGTTTCCGATCACTTTTTGTCAAATTTTGTATCAGTTGGAACTCGCTCACTAAGCTTCGCACTCAACCCATGAAGATGCAAATTTGTTACAGGTTTAAAGCGCGCGTAATAACGAATTAGGCACTTTCTGGACATACTTTTCACAAAAACCCCTTAAGGCTGTTTACTTTGGACTGTATTTATTAAGATATTTAGCTTTCGGCACTGGAACTATTCAGTTGAGCGACAGAGAGTAACTTTCTAACTCGCAAAACGCAGGCAGGTAAATTTAAATTAAATCGATAAGCACTGTAAAATGTAAATAAGATCCTTTATGAATCGAGTGAAATATCACTGCGTCGTGGAGGTAATTCGCCCGGAGGCGGTTTGCTTTTTTCCATTTTTCAGTTCCGAAAGTCAGTGATACTGATGCAAAATTTCCGACTGCCGGGAATAAGTAAACCATAAGTAATAAAAAGTAGCCGTTTCTGTACTGATGAAAGCAGTCGAAGGAATATTTCGGCTCTATAGTGGCTGATAAAATATGGCTTTACGAAATATTTTAGAATAATAAAATATAGCTTTACGAAATATGAAAGACATTTTTCAGTTGTAAAAGTCAGTGATACTGATGCAAAATTTCCGACTGCGTGTATTAAGTAAACCATAAGTAATAAAAAAGTAACCGTTTCTGTACTGATGAGAGCAAGGAATATTTCGGCTTTATAGTGGCTAATAAAAATATAGCTTTACGAAATATTTTCTCTCTTCCAATTGGATCATAAATAGTAATTTTTCGGATTTAAAACTAACATATGTCATCAGAATTCTCTCAAGATTAAACTTACACAAAACGCTATCAATTATTTAAAGCTCGAGCAGCTTATTGCAAGCAATTGTTTCAGTACATTGTTTTGTACCACCCGACTTAAGTTATCCTAAGGATATCAACGACCAAATTGTCAAATATTTGATGATCGCGTGTTGCTTACCTAAAAAACAAAGTTTGTTGCTTCCAAAGATTATAATCTTTATTTCTGCCTTACATGCTTTCACGCTGTTTTTGAAGCCTAAGCCACACACAAGTAGCAACGTTGTGGCGAATGTCAGGCAAGTTTGGGTCTTAGGAAACTGGTTGGAAAATATGACTATCACCACACTCCTCGTAGTCTTAACCCTATCTTTTCATCGGTGTTTGATGATTGAAGACTAACTGCTGAAACAGCTTATGCCAAATGATCAATTCAGAACATCTTGAAAATTTAGACTTCGGGTTTTATTAAAAATTTTCAACAGATACATACATCTCTAATCCGTTGGCATTTAATCCGCCAATGCTTTGTTATTTATTATTATTTATTATCAATCTCACCGTCCTACCTTAACAAAGTTTGCAATAAAGTTCGGATATAACTCTCTACACTACTTTAGTGCTCTAGCCGCTTTCTGCGTACTTTACAACAGAACACAACTCAGTCAAGACTTCTCTTCTTTTTATACTAAGTTTTCAAAGCTTCTAGAGGTAGGTAGACAAAAATTAAAAAAAAGAAATTACACGCGATTCATGCACTTAATTTTTCATGATAATTTTTCATTTCATTTGAAGCAGAAACATCAACGTGTACTGGCTTATCGCTTAAGTTCTCTAAAATTTTCTTCTACGAGAACGAACTTCACACTGGATACGTAAGTGACACTAGATATCCTGCACATACTTCAATAATCTTAAATTGCCACACCCTGAATACTGATTGTGATGATCAACAATGTCCAAAGAGTCGTGAGAGTAAATAGAGACAGACCAAGGAAACATCTTTTCCCAATTTATTACCGAAATAAACATTAACGATCTCTCTTCTTCTATAATAACATGATGCTTTAGATAGTGCTGATTCTCGCAGTTTGCAGGATGCGTGTCTCAGATAAACGGTAGTTCATTGATGGAGTATCGGAGCGCGGTAACGAAAGGTTTGAAGTTCCATTCTAAATGAGCATTCAGAATGATTTCCTTTTGTCCCACGCTGGTGCTTAAGACATATAAACAAGCGATAAGTTAAACAGTTCTAAGGCCTGAAAACGTTCAGGGAATCCTGCTTATTGACGAACAAAGGCTTCAATCTGTAGCCTTTATTTTAGGGTATAATTTCAGCAAGACGTCTTAGTCCACCGAAATTGAACTAGCAAAAAGTTATTTATGATTGATGGCTAAAAGTTATTAATGACTAAAACTGTAAATCCTCACTGTTTATTCTTCAGACAAAAACGCCTTGGAAGGAGATTGGTTTCCGTCTGAAAAGACACTGAAACAGCGTCTGTTTTTAAAAGATGAGCTCCATCATCTGAATGTAACTCAAGTTGAAAAACTGACTGTGTCCGACCTGTTAGATTGCATAGTTGAATGTTTAAAAAATGCTTTGTGCCTTTCAATAAACATGGCGGCCTTCAAAGGAGCAGAGGGGAAGCTTTGGTGTGAATTGCTGTCTTCTGATAAGTACAGAGACACTAGGAACTACAAAGAAAACATGAGTTCGCATCATTTCTCTACTCTGGTAATAGCTTTTTCAAAGTGTTTTTTTCGAATTTGAACTTTAACAGATAGAGCTCGTTTTTGATTTAGTGTCGTTCTGGCAGTGCTGTTCGGCTTCATTTATCAAACTTCTGTTCAAACCTTCCCCGGTTTATAAAAACAACATGTTTCTTTCCTTATTTTAGTCTCCTTGTTCGTCCTGGCCGTGTCAAAACGGAGGAATTTGCGTCCCGAATTACAAATACTACTCTTACCAATGTCTCTGTGAAGCAGGTTTCATGGGAGAATTTTGTGAGAAAGGTAATATGTCATTATTGTTCGACCTATTCCTGATAACCTGTCGCTAAAACTTTGTTCTGGAACAACTATTCATTTCATCACCATGTGATTCTCTTTTCCTTGTGTCCTGTGTTTAGACTGTATAAAATGAACACCAGCTTTATGCAGTTATTAGTAAATTAGTATTACAGTATTTCTTTGAGTTCGCCAAGTGGTGAGGAATCAGCAAAAAAATAGAGTAAGAGGACCTGATTGAAAAAAGTGACTC